TAATCATTACTGAAAATACAAACAAGATTAGCTGATAACCCAAACAAGCATTTTCTTTCAATATTACCTCCTGTCTTCCTTCCTATACTCAATTTCTTAGCCATCCTCAATTCCTTTCTAACCTCCATCCTCTCTAATATTTTCTCACAAGGCCTTGAATCAAGTGCTTTACTCAAGTCCAGACAGATGAGAGCCATTACATTTTATTTGTCTGAAATTGCCCTCAAAAAGCTGCTATATTATTCCAGGACAGACCACACGCAACGCACTGTCCTGGATTTTATCCTATTTATCTCTACCCTCATTTTAATGGAGATGTGTTGGTTCACATGCCTCCAACGTACCTTCTGGCACTTGTACTGCATGGCTCACAGGAAGCCTAATGGCCCCCAGAAGGAACTGGCACCCTCTACCGCATATTCAAATAGGACAGAAGATGACTATTTATAATTAATACGGCCCTCTACCAGACATAATGGAGACAGTATCACTGGGGCTCGGGAATAACAACTTCCATTACATACATGACCTACATGGGAAACATGCCTGTCCCTCACAGTTCTCCCAATTCTTCTCCTCCAAATACCTTCCTTACTGCCCTGGCATCTGTTCATGTTCCATTTTCTCCCTCCTCTGTTCTCCTGCCCACCAAGATTACTCTCTCTTAGCTCTCCTCAAACCTCCCTTGCCAACTTAACAAGCCTCCTACTTCCTTTTCTCATTTTTCCTTCCAATCTCACAAGCCCAAGGCCAGGTCTCTATTCTCCTTCACATACCTACCTTCCCCATACTACCTCTGTGCCCCACTTCTAGTTGAGGTCATAGTGTTTCCTCGGAGCGGCTTCACAGTTTCATTTCTGGTTGCCGATGGAGGAGGCACGTGGAGGCTCCTGTTCACACCTCCCTTTCACTGAATTAGGCTGGCAAGACTCAAGGAACCGAGGCACTGAAATCTGTGCACACTTTTACAAGATGGTCAAATCCACATCGGCATCCCTGACAGCATGCTACGCGCCCAAGCTTCAAACTGCTACCCAGACAGTGGGAGGCCTGGAACAATCTCATTTCTGAAAGGCTGCTTGGCAAAACAGACCCAAAACACTTCCCCTCCCTGAAGTGAGTCACCTAAAGTTTTCTTTAAAAAAATGTACTTTGAGAAAATACTGGGTGAAAAAATACAGCTTTAAGCTTCATACAGTTAGAAACAGCCTCATATAGGAAAACATCAAGTATTAAATGTAGCTGGTCAAATTACATGACTTAAAAGAGGTCTTCACTACATTGTCCTCATTTCCCACCCCATCCGTAGTCAAAGAGCAAGTTAGAAACTGTGTTTCAGAATGAGACGAGGCTTCATGAAGTAGCATTCTGTCTTCACCTTTAAAATATTGACTCAGCTCTACATGAATTCTGTAACACAACAAAAAATACAACCCATACAGTTTACATGGTTGAACTGCAAGGTTTACTAGTTAAAAGAAAGAAATAGCTAAGGGAGTGGGAGACAAGTTAAACACTGGTACATTTCTGAAAAGAATCATAGGATCACAGAATGGTTTGGGTTGGAAGGGACCTTAAAGACCATCTAGTTCCAACCCCCCTGCCAGGGGGCAGAGACCCCTTCCACTAGACCAGGTTGCTCAAAGCCTCATCCAGGCCTTGAACACTTCCAGGGATGGGGCATCTTAGTTAAGTACAACTCCTGAAGATTTCTGGAAATTCTGTGCACGCAGAACTACCAGGAACACATTTGGTGCAAGGTACCAAACCCACAAAAGGTAAGTCCTCTTTGGAACATTTTACCCATCAGTGTAGCACAAAAAGCTCTATACATCTTGCCTTAGCTATGATGGGAGTAGATTTTCTGTAGAAAGTGAAAGTACATTTTATCTTTCAGCTTCACGGTAAGACAGCCAAAGGAGGAACTGTGCGCTTCAGAAAACGGTCGGTCCATTGAGGAGGCCTAGTTAGACATAGGGCTTTGCAACGCTGAAGGACTAATGAAAAGCCCAAAACTAAACCAGAAGTAGCCTAGCATCACTGCTTACCTTATTTAAAGATAGTATGGTTTCTTAATCTCCTTTATACCTCAGTGAACCTTACAAGTGGGAAGGCGGATGGAGAGAGACCTCATAGATTTAAAAGCCAAAGACTATGTCACTCCATAGAGTGACCAGAACTCATCACACATCTTTACAAATCAGCCAGCTGTTCAAACAACTAAACTAAATCCTGTTGCTAGGAGAATAGCACCAGGCAGTGAAGACCTGAACAAATATTATGTTCCAAAACAAACCTTAATTCATCCTCACAGCAGCAAGCAGATAAGAATCTGGTAGTCTAAATGAATACCAACAGCAAAGACAAATTATGGGATCTGCAAACAACTCTGTGCAAGAACTCAACTAATAAAGCACAAAGGTGTTTCTACATCAAAATCAATTAACAGAATATAGGCCAATACTGGTATGAAAAGAAAATTGTTTAAAGTCACAGAAAGCACTGCAACCTTGGGCTATTCTACTACTCCTGGAGTCTATACAATATCAGCAATTACCTGGCAAGGAAACTACATTCCACCATGCTGAATCAAACACAGATCAGCTAAGTTTTACAAGCTTAGTTTGACCTCACATTCTCCAACTGTAAAAAAAAGTTACCAGGGAGTAGTGACCCTTCCTAAGCCAGTCAGTGCCAGGATCAAGCAGGACAATGCACTGTGTATCTATTCAAGCTTACTCATAGAAAACCAGGCCCCAAAACTATAAATCAAGTAAAGGCTTTTTAAATTTAGCAGAATTACACAAGTCTTTGGATATTTGCTTCACTGCACAATTAATCCTGCAATTCTCTACAACTACCAATTAAACCCTAAAACCAAAAATAAAGCTGTTTTGGCACATAAGAGCAAACATAATTTTTAGGCTATAAAATAATCTGATAAACTGGGACATCCAAGTAGCCATCCCGTTATACAATTACAGCTTGATTCCATTTTAAATTAAGGCAATCAAGTAACTGCCCCCCATTAGAAAAATGTTACAGACCCTTTAAAAAGTAAACAGTTGCTCTGTGCTTGCAGTTACTTTAACACTTCAAATATCTTTATTCACCTTAAAAGGTCACTCAGCTTTGCAGTAGGCCTCCTGATTTCACCTGCCAAAATAGCTATTCACTGCACTGCTTATTACCAATCACTGCTTGGTGCAGAGTTGAATACATCAGACAGGTTGATGCAAATCATCCACATCAAAATTTCTTCCTTCTCCAATTAACTGGCAGCAGACACCCCACTCTGGATTTTCACCTCAGCTGGGTAACCCAGCCATGGATTTCCCTGTAGCTCCTGCCTCACATTCACATTTTTCATAAGACCCGAACAATCAAATCAGAAAAATGAACTGACTATATAGATGGATTTTTAAGATCAACCTAAGTATGAAGTACAATTTTGCTTCGCTATAACCTGAGACTGGTGATGGATCAAAGACACTGCAGCACCTCAGAGCAGAGGTAGTTTGAATTTCACTGAGATTTTTCAACAGCAAGTATACCACAATTCCCGTGATGCCATAAAGCCGCAAGAGATTCTTCATCAAGTTACACTGCTCACGCTAGACAGGAGAAAAATATAACTCCATACTCTTATCTCCAACCTAGGACTGAAAAAGCTGTTGCAGTAACAGAAAATGACTAAACCACAACTTCAGCATTCCCCGCGACATTAAAGGTCGGGTTTAGGACCACAGCAACAGCTCTGCATCCCCTAGGCAGCTCCTACCTCTGTAGAAGTGAGTCGGTAAAAAGGAACAGAACGCCCAGAATGCAAACACTTAGCTGTGCCTTAGACTACATTCACACCAAGGACACACACTGCAACTTCCGACGGGACAACTCGGCCCATATGCCACTGCAGACACCCTCGTATCAAGGGAATCCCCCTACTGATACCCACTAATCCCACGATATCTTTGAGTCTGCAAAAAGGCACTGCCGTGGAAGCCCCCACCAAGGCCCTTAAGCAGTACACATGCTTTGTGGGTTTCTGCATGGTTTTCCTTCAAACCGGTTAACAAAAATCTCACCTGAACACCTAAGTAGGCAATATAGAATCATAGAATCACTAGGTTGGAAAAGACCTTAGAGATCATCCAGTCCAACCGTATCTGTCCACCACTAAACCATATCTCTCAGCACCTCATCCACCCGTCTCTTAAACACATCCAGGGATGGTGACTCCACCACCTCCCTGGGCAGCCTGTTCCAGTGCGTGATAACCCTTTCGGTGAAGAACTTCTTCCTTACATCCAATCTAAACCTCCCCTGGCGCAGCTTGAGCCCATTCCCCCTCGTCCGATCATCTGTCATTAGGGAGAAGAGACCAACACCCACTTCTCCACAACCTCCTTTCAGGTAGTTGTAGGCAGTGATCAGGTCTCCTCTCAGCCTCCTCTTCTCAAGGCTAAACAAGCCCAGTTCCCTCAGTCGCTCGACTCATATAAAAACCTCATTGCTTCTCTCTTGGAGCAGCTGTGCAATTGTCATCTCCAGAGGAAACAAATTCACTATTTCCAAATGCAGGCTTATATCCACCCCTACTGTACAGATGGCCCTGCTCAGTTATAAATCTGATTACAGAACGCAGGCTGCAGGGTCTTTGTTCTCTCCCACAACGTACACGGAGCGCACCCAAATCCGGCTTTGGCTTGTAAAGCCGACTGGTCTTTGTTCTGTTCTAAGATGTGCACAAGTTTGTTCTTGAGGAACCAGAGCCTACAAAGTAAGATTTGCTGTAATCTGTACATAAGGTACTTGAGACATGTGTGTTTCAATGTTAACTATTTTTAAGACTACAATTAAAACAATGTTTTATCCTTTCCGTAAGTGCACTCTTAAAAGAAAACATGAACAAAACTTAAAAGCTCAATATGTACTTTCAGTTTCTAAACACAGTGAATTAAAGCTTCATATCTGAAAGGAACTTCCTAGAGATACCCTACCTGACGGCTGCCGTGACCAAAGGGGGTACTTGACAAATTGGTGGTAACACTGTGTAGGATAATTTCACCACTCAAAGATCCAGAAGCGACGTAGCAACCATTCCAATTATATGCAACACACGTGACTTCATCTTTATGATCCTGGGCGGGAAGGAGGTTAGAGAGACAGTCAAAGACATTCAGGATAACCACATTCCTTCCTAAACTGTGTTTCTGGAGAAAAACTTCAGCTCAATGTTTTTTTTCCTGACCATCTGTAACTTTTTTTAAAAGAGTTATTATGGAATATCCCAGAAAACAGCTGCAGAACATACTCAAGATCAGCCATTATATTTTAACCACTGTCTGACTGTTTTCAGAAGTTTGTTTTAATAAATTAGTAAAAATGACACTGTAATTATGTACAACATTTTAATAAGACAACCACAGAGGTATCTACCACAGGTGTCATTAATGCTATTTTAAAACTGAAGTCTTCCAGAAACCAGTGATATTTGGATACAATTTCTGTTCATCTGATGTAGTACTGCCAACTTCCCCTGCTGTCACTTTTAGTACATAAATACACGTGTATTTACCAAATAGCTCTTCAGTACAGTCACTTGCCATGATGATACTGTGATTAATTAATATATAGGGGAAGAAATCAAGTACTTCAAATATCTTTTTCTCCTTTTTGGACTAGAAGTATTGTATTAGGTACTCAGTAATTTTGTTTAAAACCGTAACTTCAGAAGTCCAAGAAGAAAAGAATAAAACAGAGCTGAAGTTCTGTTGCCTCTTTAACAGTGGCCCCTAAGTGAGGGCAAATCACCCTCACTTAGGCATGGTGGAAACATACCAGACCATCCTAAGTTTTGTGTGTGGTGACAGGATTTTAGAGAATTCACACTGGATCAGTTAGAAGGCGATGACCACGTCCCGGTTTTGCAGAACACCACTTCTGCTACAGTGCTCTCTAAATACAAGTGTTTCCTGCTTGATGTATCAGAAACAGCAATTATTTGAAATGCTGCCCTTGGAAAAAATCCCTTTGAAGACTACTAATGCAAATTCACAAGATCAGAAGCCTACTCTGGCTACACAAACACACATTATTATAGAACTGGACTCAATGTATCAAGTTATGCTTGTCAAGATGCTAGTTAAACTAAATTTGCTGTTTACAGCACACAAAAACACAAACTCAAACAAGAGAGATGTGTGTGCCACCCCCTTTCTGTGACCTTGATCCCATAGCCACACGACTCAGAGACAGTGTATTTTTTACAGCTGGAAGACATGAAAGCTGCAGTTCTTCCTCGGCCAACCTTACCTTGAGGCTCCGGTAAAGCTTTCTAGATTTCAGATCCCAGATATTAACACTGTTATCGAGGCCTCCACTCACAACATGCGAAGAACTAGAATTCAAGCTCACGCATGTTTGTTTTGTCTGATGGAGAAGGGGAAAAAAAAGCATGTTAAAGATAATTAAGGGATTTCTTCAAATCTACTGGAAAGCATATTGACATGGTTCTCATCTTCATTAAACACAAACATTCCTGTTGATGGAAGGAACGATTGGTACACTACTGTCACTTCCCATCAAAAGGCATTTAAAATCCAGGCCAGTTTGGACATATGTTTAATATACTTTAAGATTTAAATACATGAATTAATAAACTCTCAAATGCTTGCATTTTCCTATTCCTATTTCAAATTTTTTTTTAGCCCCTTTTCCTTCAATATGCATTTTCCCTTTAAATTACAGCTCCCTGTATATAAAGTGCAATCATAGCCTCCTATTCAGGTACTGAGTTTTAAAAAGAAAATGTTAATCTTCTTCCTAAACTCCTTAAAAGAAAAATCAAAAAGTCATCTACGTCACATACTTCACATTCCCTAAACATTACAAAGAATATTATAGCAGCAAGCCTCAGGATTCGGTAAAGCGATTCTCTTTAAAATAATCGCTGAAGTACCCGGTCTTGAAATACCCATCAGTCTTAATGACAGATCTGCACTGAGGACAAATCACTGAGGACAAATGAACTACTGTCATGTTGAAAATTCACTTTTAAGTTCCTGAGATTTGAATTAAAAAAATAACAAGTCCATCTAATTATTGACACGGTCAAATTGGAAATGCTTGCCCGAGTTATAGATCACATTCAGCTATAGATCACATTCAGCGCAACCTCTAGGACAAGCACTCCACTGCTTTCAGCGACCTAAAAGCCCAGTTTAAACACCTTTTCACAAAATTCCCACTCTGAATTAGCATTACAATAGCTAACCAAGGAGATTAATTAGAATGGTTTAAAACACTAACAAGTGAACCATGTCACCAGACTCTCCTAAAATTTAAGTCCACCTTTGCAAAGAGTTTATAGCACCATTTAAGGAGCTCTCCTATTTCCCCTATTTCCAGAGGCTCCTGCACGCATGCTCCAAGATCAACCCTTACAGAGACCCCTCCGGTTTTCAGTGTGCAGTTCACAGGGACACAGCACTGACAGTTCCAGCTGGAAAAGGAAGTTCAAACTTGAGCTCTGCCCGTCGCCTGCACATCAGATCAAGTTTGATCCACTGACTTGTCTCGGCTGTCACGCTGAGGCTCTGCAGGGAAACTCCCCTGGTAGGAAGCCACCGGCATCAGATGCCAGTATAACCACATCTGTATTGTTTCACTGATAGAACTACTTCAGAAGCACTATTCCACCCCCACTCTTTAGATGTATTTGACTATATACAAGGAAATGTCTCTATATACCTGTCATAACTCGAATACTAAAATTCAGTTGATCCTAAAATGCAGAGCAGATGTGACAGAAAATACATAAGGTGGCTTGGGGGAAAACCAGGGAACAGCATCAGTCATACTTACCCCTTCAGCTATTTCGAAGAGCGGAACAGGTTTGCTTTTACAGCTTGAAACAACTATTTTATCACCAGCAGCAGAAGCAGTGGCCAGGTACCTGTCTTAGTCGCAAGTCATGGACCATAACTGCATTACGCTGGTGATTAATAAAGGCGACAGTAAGTTTCCGTTAGTGAACAGAAGACAGATTGGTTAAACAGTCTGAAGTGCTGTACCTTGAAGGGACCTAGCGACAGAAACAGGCTGTTTAGCTGGTGCAAGCACTCCCCAGCACCAGCTAAAAAGGCACCTCATCAGTACATTTCTCAGGGTAAGCCCAGAAACCTAGCTTTCTTCACAGTGGCTGGCATGAAGCTAACCCTCCCCTGACTAAAACCAGTAGAGTTTTCTGATTTGTTTCCCTCTGTACTGAGGGAAGAAAAACAAAAACCCAAAAAGTACCTTTTATGACACCAAGTAGCTCACAGTAGTAAGAAAAGCCTCCAGTGTAGAACTATACAGCAGGGAAACAGCTTCTACACCCCCACCAATCTAAGGGAGCAATCGTTTTGATCCGTGTCCTGTATGCCTTCAGGCCAGCGCCCATTGGGATTTTATATTTGCTTATTTAAGAACACAGGCTAAGTGGCTGGATTTAACACTAAAGAAGTGGCAAGCAGGTTAGTGATTGCTACTTCTTTCATTATCTTAAGGCAGCATCTTAGCTTACAGAACTATGTAGAACCAAAACCAACCCTTTACCCCAAGACGCTAACAAATGTTCAAAAGCAAGATACTCCATCGGGTCAATTTGGGGGGATGAAGAGGAGGCTGGGCAGAAGAAAGCATGACAAGACAGACCACCTACAGCTGAAGTTAACTAAACAACACACGTGTGGATACATAAAAACACGTTATATATATGCTTCAATTTCTCTGCAAGCTCCACAGATAGACACATTCATTTGTGCTCTTATGGCTTCAACTTTTTTCTCATATATCCACTTATTTGCAGAGTTAAGAAGACAGACACATTCAGAACTTGCAGGAATTAACTGTTATGTGTCAGTTTCCTGTCCTTCTTTTATGTCGAGATCAGACACCACCACCTTTTCCCATGTCAGCCATACAAGCTGTTCCCCTGACAGCGCACCGTTTTCACGAAATCTCTCACATTTTCAGTTTCTCATCTCAACCCAACACCTGGCACCTCATATCATTACCTTGTAAGAGGCCTGCAAGACAGAGGTGAAACATCTAAATGGGCCAGATCCGTTTTCATGCATAAATCACCACCATCCTATGGATGTTTTCCTATTCATCCAACACATCGTGCTTCCACTCTAACTGCTACAGACAGCACAAAGAAAACCAGTGCCTAAAGGGGTAAGTGCATTCTATCAAAGACAGGGTACACGTTTATCGGAAGCAGCGAGAAGCTGTTCAACGGGAAAACAGAAAACTCTCTGATTCCAATTTTCCTCTCTACCCAGTGTACAGAATTTCACTACACTAGCCACTGCTTTGTCCAGCCTTGTCAGTAAATTAAGCACTGCCTTCACAGTGAGTGTCATGACAAGTGCTGAGGAAAGAAATGAGTGAGCTTTACAGCTGGTAGGCAATTCAAACACATCATAATCATTAAAAAAGTGTTAGCCTCCTAAAGGCACAGAAACTTCTTCAGAAGCATTTACCAGTGTGAGTTTATTCTGTAAATCACTTCCACACAGAGAACCACAAAATTTTCTTTACAATATATACAAATTTTTTATCCAAGGCTTCAAAACTGCATCAAGCCTGTGATTTGGACACACTTCAATAAAGGGAATTCACTGACATTTTGCAGAACACCCGCACAGCTACGGCTCAAACTGTAAAGGATACTATTGCTGGCCCAACATAGTGAGCTGACTGGATGTTGGGGCGTGTGCGGGTTGAACTGATCCACCACAGTTAGAGATGAGGAATCCCAGATTTTAACATCATCTCCTGATGAAGCAAAACGTATGCTTTCTTGCATGGCTGCACCTGGTTTTGCAAAAAAATAAATTAAAAAAAAGAAAATACATGTCTGTGTAAAGTAAAAACAGACAGCAAGTGACGAGGCAAGAGTAATTTGTATACATGTCATTTAGTACTGGTTCCTTGAGAACAGGAACATTTATTTATTTATTTATTTATTTATTTTGAATATACCACTGGAAGCAGCAGACAATCCATTCTTTCGTTACTTAAATTCTCGCAGGAAATGTACGCTCTCCTTTCCACAAAGAAAAGGCGTCCCCTCTATGGTATCGAGAGACTAACCCGATGCTTGCTTGTATCTCCACAGGGTTTACAGCGGCCTAACACGAAGCCGTGAGTACTCCAAGAACGCCTTTCCCACCAGTAGATGGGGATGCACAAGGTACAGTCAAACCGACTGGTGCAGGGAAAGGCTGGAAGTTTGGACCCGCAGGGCTCATCTCGCCGCCCTACAGGAGACGTCCGAGAATCCTTTAATCTAAACCCTTGACAGCACAATGCCAGCGACGACAGCTCGTATAGCCTGTTACTGTGGGCAATTTCAAACACGCAAAAGCGAGGACTCAGAAGGCAAGCCCCTCCTCCGCCCGAGAGCACAGCCACCCCTCTGCCTCTAGTTTCCGGGGCCTCCTACATGGCTGGAGGCCACTCATTCTCCCTGCCG